GATACATAAAACCTTAAACGAGATTCTATTTATAGAGTTAGAACTCTAAACAATAATAGTAATTTCTATTTTTTAGTGGAACACTTTCCATTTTTCTCTCTTTGCCTTTTTTCATAATTTTTTTTTGTTGTTTAATTTTCTTTTTGCTTGTTTTTCTCTTTTCTTTAATTTTTTTCTTTTTACTTGATATTTCTTTTTCTTGTTGAGAAAACGAATCTATTCCAACACCCATACGTAACCGTTAAAAAATTTAGCAATTGGTATGCTCTAGAATATTATGAGGAAAAAAGTTTGTTTGATTCTTTGCTGCCTAATAATTTTCTCTCTTTATATATAGGCAGCGAAAGAAAGTGAAACTTTGCAATTCCTTGCTAAGTTTACAAAGGAAATGTTATGATCAACACTAGGAATTATTTCACTAATTCCATTATTCTCCACGTACATTGTTGTACGTATTTCACTATCTATATATAATACCAAACCCGTTTTTGGGAATAGATGACGCCAGCATCTTTTTATAGGAAAAAAATCACCATCCAACGGTTGAGAATTGATTGGATATAAATCTAGCGGCTGAGACTTAGTTTCAAATAAAAGGATCTGAAATCATCATTCGATAAAAAGATGCGTACTTTCTTTCTCAAATAGACGCATCTCTAGAAACCACCATCTCTTTTCAATCGCGTTCCTTCCTTCAATCGTTGCTCTTCATCGATTTATATATATCTTCTCTGAGTTTTTTTCTTTCTTTCTGAGTTTTCATCCTCAAAAAACATAATCGCATTACTTCCTTATGTCAACGCTTCTATGGCATAAGTATCCGGCGATTATGGAATCGTGACGTCGTCGAGAAAGGTTGCCTAAAATTGAGAGTCTCGCATCAACCATCCACAGTCGGTCACGTACACTTTGTTGACGATGTCACGATTCCTTCTCGCTTCTTTTATTCATCCTCGTCTTTCGCCTCTTTCGTATCTGTCATATTCAACTCTTAATCCCCTTAATTTGTTATCCTCCCTTCCAGAATTTCAAAGTCAATATTTGTTATTCATTCACGTACGTTCCTCTTCTTTGTAATTTCTAGATTGATTGTGTTTGCAATCAAAATGTATGTCTATGATTTCTATATATTCTTTAATTGTCTCTTTACGCCTATAATATTTCTACTTTTTATGATTTTTTCATGAATTAGTTAACTACTTGCTCATATATACTGATTYGTTGCTCATTTTAGAACTTTTCTTTTGACTTCACTTATCTACTTTGTTTATTCATTTGCTAAGAGGGTGAGAAAATGATTCTTATGGATCATGCCTTTACACAATGTAATTAGTTTTCTACTATTGTTTACCCTTCTTTACATCCTTTTGTTCTGTGTTCATGAGTTTTAGTGGGTTTAAGGATTTCATAAATTGACCATATTCCATTCAGCGAAAAGGTATGTTGCTGTTTAGTTTGGAGGATTGTGAATGAAGAGAAGTGATCTTTTAAATTTTTACGTCAAGTTTTCTAATTCTTCGTCTATAAAAACTGAACGAAAAGAGAGATAAACTATCCTCTAAAATTAGACAAAATTTTAGATTTGAGATATATATATCTTCTTTAAATATATGGCGCGCCCTCGTAACAAAGGTAAGAAGATATTAGTTCTTCTAATCGTTGTCGTCAACTCCTCTATTAATTGGAACGTTCAATTTGCCGTTGTTGCTGTGGAGTTTCCGCAGTTACAACAAAATATTCTAAAACTCATCCATTAGACTTCTCCAGAATTTTAGAAAGATTCATTCACTCTACAAACTTCTCCAGACTTCTCCATTTTTCTTAATCATTGTTTATATACAAAAAAAAAAGAAGCAACATATTGTTCGATAAGTATCAAACTAATAAATTTAGAGGATATTATTAATCAATTATTTTGAGATGTTGTTTCTTAGTTTTGGCTTCAATTATTAGTTGAGTTAGAGACTAAACGCATGTGTGTTGTTGTTAACAAATTGAGAAAATGTGAGTTTTTAATCGAATTCGCAAATTCTTCTTCTTATTGCTATTGTTTAGAATAATGCTTTGTTAGTAGGCAAAAACTCTACAAACTCCTTGCGGCTTATGATATCTTGATGCTTTTTAGTAACATTTGTATATATTGATCAATATCCGATCGAGTGGTGTAATTTGCATAATAATTTTGCAAGGCTTTTGTTTTTATATCCCTCCTCTTCGATCCCGCCGTCAAATCGTCCGGAGAAGACCACCAAGAGGACGAAGACGAATAAAAAGCCCGACCGTTGATCGCAGGAGAAGCAACTTCCGATCTTCGATTAACGACGACGGAGAGGAACGACGGCCGTGATGTTGATGACGTGGCCAATGACCTCGCGAGACGAACCGCCATGGCCGGAGCTCAGGAAAGGTCCTGGACTTTGTGGTGCTTAAATGACTTATGTAACCTCGGAAGAATGGTTAATTTACTACACAGTGACGCCGTTCTTATCAACACACCTTGCCGTTTTACACATCTGTAAATAAAATGGCTGCCGTTTTGTTAACAACAACAGAGAAAACAAACCTAACTTAAGCCCATAACTATTTGTAATTTTCAAGTTTAACCCATAACTAAGCCCAGTTAACAACTTGCGTTTTGGATAAACGGCTATAATTTAAATTTAAATTTAAATCTCACGTGTTTACATTATACCACAACGGTAATATTTTATACCAACGGTAAAACTTTTCAAAGCTTATAAAAACAACAAATCGGTGATTTCTGACTCCTCTCGATGTTTTTCCATGTTCTTGTTCTTGTCTGTATTTTAGTTTGGAAACAGAGAGAGATACTTGGTGAAAGATAGTTACTGGTTCAGAGTTTTCTCCGAGAGATCATTACCGGCATAGACGCATAGGTATACAAGATCATCTCTATCCTTTTATTTTTCGTTTAGTTTTTACATGGATTTTTTCTTTCCGAAAATCGTTTTTGCTTTTGGTTATTGAATTGCAGAACGAAAAGAAAAATAAGTGGGTTTTTTTTAGGTTACTGTTGCTTCTTCGATCTGAAGTTTTCTTTATTGCAAAACGAAGAAAAAAAGTGGGGTTTTTAGGTTTCTGTTGCTTCTTCTTTAGGTTACTCTTCGATCTGAAGTTTTTTTTATTGCAACGAACAAAAAAAAGTGGGAATTTTTAGGTTATTGTTGCTCTTCGATCTGAAGTTTTTTTTTTAGGTTCTGTTGCTTCTTCGATGGTTTTCAAACAAGAAATTTGGGAAAAATTGTAAGATATTTGGTGGGTTTTTCTGCCTCTATTTCGAATGCATTCGTGACTGACAATATGCATACATTATATCCAGGCCTTGAATAGTGTAGATGGAGTAAACGATGAAGAAGAATGATACAGAACAGCTCTAATGCAATAAACAGAGCGTGTAGAGGTTTTATGATTGAGGTCAGTTTAAATTCTTTTATATATGCA